ACTAAAATGAATTTAGTATCTCTCTCTAATGTCTGCATTAATATAAGTAATAGGTTTATATTTGACTTTAACTAAGTTAAAAATAAAAATCCAAAAAGGAAATGTGAACTTTTAGAATAGATATAGCAAAATCTAATCTTTGACATTAAACAAAATTATAAAATTAAGAATATCTAGTTTTGAATTGTTATACAAATGATAGATTTAAAGAAAATAAATTTAAAATAATTTACTAAGGAAATTTAGATCATAACATGTTGAAAATTAGTTTTGTTCATTATGATGTAGTAAATTTACAAGAATCAAAACCTTCAGAAAATCTCCAGTGTCAGAAATTTCTTTATACTACACTTGCATGAAAAATAAGTAACTTTATATCATAGTTTATTTTTAAAGTACCTTAAAAACATATCATTCAGTAAGTTTAATTAAATACATTTTCATATATGATGCATTAAGTTGATAACTGAAATAATTTCCCGAGATCAAAGAGCCAGGATTTAAGTTGGTGGATTTTTCATTGATATTATCTAACTAGGATAATTTGTTTTCCTTGAACTTTGTAGGTAGAAAGCTCCCAGCCCAAGTTTACTGAAGTCTATATTTCTCCCCCGCCCCCTTGAAAAGAAATCTAATGGGATGAATTTGGGGGAAATTGTTTATTTAATATTAGAAGTTAATATTAGGTACTATGTAATAGTTTCTTGTTTCCCTGCATTAAGACTTGTAACAAGAACAATTAACAATTAGTTAGCACTTAATATGTACCCATAGCAAACATTTTACATCAGGTAAAATATGCAAATTATTCTCTCTTTAACCACTGAAGTAATTGTCTTATTTCTTCTCATAATTAGACTTAAGAACTTTATATTAAATAACCCTATTCAAAAAATTAGTTCATTTATCTGATGTGGGAGAGGAATGATTATGATAGCAGCTGATTTATCCCAATGTGTTTCTCATAGCCATACTAGTTATGACAGTATTTTTGGTACTTCACTACTGCCAGGGTGGTTCATGGGTGTAATGGCTGTAAATGTTGCCCATGCTGAAATCACCATGTCGTTACTGCTTAGCAACATTTCCCATAGTTTTCTGTAGAACACTAGTTTCATTCAACCCTAGTAACTAATGGAGAAAGGTTTCAATAATCAAAAAGTTTGAATAACCTTGATTTTAACTATATAATGCAAATTTCTTTACTGTAGGACATCTCAGATTTCTTAATATACCAAAGAGAAAATAAAGTATGCAGAATCTCCCAACATAGTACAATGTTGAAAACTTAGGATCGTGGGCCACTGTCCTTCAGAAAACATTTTATAAAATGTTGTTTAATTGTACAAACTTCAGTCTCTCTCTCTCTCTCTCTCTCTCACACACACACACACACACACACAGAGAGAGAGAAAGAGAGAGAGACAGATGTGTTTACATTTTGGCATTCTGGAGAAGACTAAAAAAATGCAGTCCATCTCCAGTCTCCATTAGATTAGGTGACAGTAGTAGTTGGGTTTTTTAAATTTTTACCACTGACTCCAAAACTTGGCACATGGCTTGTCTGCTTTCTAAACCTCATGGGTTCTTCCTCAACTACTAAATGGAACACCATTCATCTAGATTGACCCTCTTCAGATAGTAGAGTCTCCACCTGTCTGCTATCTAGTTATTATTATAATAATGCTTCACAATATCATATTTATAGGAGGTCCCTAGAAGGCAACATAGTCCATTTACTTATCTAGTTCTCTGTTGAATTGCAACAGAGCCCATTAAAGGTGCATAATTAACTTCTAACAGAACTAGTTTCAAAGGAGTCTGCTTTATTTTTACACTCCCATTTTTAAATCAAAAATATTCATTTAAAAAATATTTTTCTCCGCTAGTTGTAAAAATTTTGCACAAGAAAGTTCACTATAAAGCAAGAAGTACACTTATAAATATATATATTGTTTGCTTTTTGTTTTCCAGATGCTTTGTGTACACTAATTCACTGAATTATTTTATAGATGAGGAAGCTAAATCATATACAGGTGAAGACTCTTGCAAAAACACCACACAGCTGGTAAGGAGTAAGCAGCAAGTTGAACCAAGAACTGACTCCTGTGTTTTTAGTCCTAACCACAAGCACTGTATTAAGATTCCCATATCATTTTTTTCGTTTCCATTTTAGAAGTCCTTGATAGGAACATTTTGTTTTTATAGGCACTATTGTGTTTAATGCTTTCTGATCATATAAATTATATTTCTGATTATATCTTTTGTTTCACCACACCTGCCAGGAAACGGGGAGTACTTACAACAGGAAACTTAATTACAGCAAGTCTGTGGGCTTTTAATTTGTTAAATTTTGGTTCCCCTTTGATTTTTCTATTTCTGGCACTCTCATCCTCATCTTCCTCATCATCTGATGATGATTATCATCATTTTCATCATTTTTGATATTTCTTGATTGTAGACCCAATTGACTTATTCAAATTCTTGGTAAATTTAGGCCAAATGAATTATATAATCAGAAATATGATAATTGCACAATAATATCAGTACAAATAGCTATACCATAACAATACAAATATAAATACAATAAACAATTTACTGACTGTCCAAGGGTGTTTCCTGAAACGTACTCTGAATTATCAAAGAAATATTATAATCAATATAACTTAAGGTCAAAATATTTTATCGTAATCAACAGAAATTTTACTCTATTTTTTAAAAAAATAATGGCCATTTCACATTGTATTTTTGTCAGCAGTTTGTCAATACATTTTTGGTCAGAATATCTGAATGCCCAATTACTATAAATTAAACATAGCTTATCAATTCAAAGCCATCATTATTCTTGGCAAGTAACTATATTTTTTATTTATTTATAATTGATATTTACCTATTTAAAAATACTTTATAAATAATTCAGTTTGAATAAGACTGATATGCTCTTAGAATGCTCAGCGATTGTTTTATAGTGTCATTCGGAATGCTGAATACTGGGTCACACTAATCACTAGATACTTTATGGTCTTTGGATCTAAGCCCAGTGGAGCTTACCTGTTGCCACACCGTGCACCACTCCCTCCTTGGTTTTGGAGCCTACAAAAACGAACACATTCAAGACATAAGTCTCAAACTAGCCTTAAATTGCTGATTAGCTAGTTTTCAATACAACTAATTTAAAAACTCAGTCTTCAGAAGTCTATAGATTATTACATCTTCAGGGGAAAAAAAATATATATATATATATCCTAATACTAAAAGAAGGAACTCCAGTAACCACCACAATAAATAGAAGAAAGCCAAGCTAACAGGAGGTCATCTCCAATTAAGATTTTAGCACAAAATAATAACTTTATCCCCTTTGTTCCCACATCACATATGAACTTACAGAGGAGAAAAAAGAACGAGATTACACTGGGGCTTGGTGAGAAGATAATTTTGAAATCAGAGCTGTAGAAGCTTTTTTCTTTTCTCTCTCTCTCTCTCTCTTTTTTTTTTTTTAAGTCGGAGTCTCGCCCTGTCGCCCAGGCTGGAGTGCAGTGGCCGGATCTCTGCTCACTGCAAGCTCCGCCTCCCGGGTTCACGCCATTCTCCTGCCTCAGCCTCCCAAGTAGCTGGGACTACAGGCGCCCACCACCACGCCCGGCTAATTTTTTATATTTTTAGCAGAGACGGGAGTTTCACCATGTTAGCCAGGATGGTCTCGATCTCCTGACCTCGTGATCTGCCCGCTTCGGCCTCCCAAAGTGCTGTGATTACAGGCTTGAGCCACTCTGCCCGGCCAGAAGCTTTAAAAATACAGCACTAGAGACAAATGAGTCAACTCATGAAACAAAAGCAAAGAGGGAGGGAGAGTAGGCTTTAACATGTGCTGAACACCCATTATGTAAAAAACACTTTACATATATCTTATTTAATCTTCACAACATCCATTGAATGTAGTTATATTATGCCCATTTAAAATATCTGATGAAATTAAAAATCCGAGTTAAGTAATTTGTCTAACATTACACATGTAATAATAGGCTATAAGCACATTCAAACTAGGTTTTCTACGCAGGATCAGAATTTCTTCCAAACCTGGACCATTACTAAACTTGTATACAAATAATTATTATGTGTATTATTAAAATTATGCTTGTTAAAAATTTTATTCCTATCCTCTCTAATGTTGGACTTTTCAGTGTAATTCACACTGTATATAATTTATGGAATAGGCATGATTTTTATGTTTTCCAGAATTGTCATACTCCTTTTTAAGTCTGGATCAGTTTACAAAATGTTACCATTTGCACTTTAATGTCATGATATACTGAGAGTGTACTTAACGTAAGGTGTATTTTTCAACATCACTTCCTCTGGGACACCTTCACTCTTTATCACAACCTCTTTCCCCATTTATATGGATACCTCCACCTTCAATACATTCCTCTGACTGCATATCTAGAGTCTCCTGAATTGCGCAGTGACAACATCCTCAGGGGTGGCTACTTCCTATATAAATCAACTTATGTTTGATTCAAATTTTACTTCCAGCATGTTTCACTTCCTTTCTTTGCTGCTCTTTCATCTTTACTGGTCAATTTCCTCTTTTGATTGTGCATTTTTGTGAAACATCACATGGGCTCACCACTGGGAGACAAAGCGGCTATACAACTACGGGCATTGCTGTGTGTATGAACTGCATAACACGTGTGAAGCGCCCAATCACCAAAAAGCTTTGAAAGAAGTGCTGTGGTTTTGTCACTGATTATAATGGGTTTCTGTTATTTATGTAATGATTTGAAGGCTGAAGAGTTAGCAGCAAAGTTTGTACTTTATGCAGTTACTTTCAGTATACTGTGGTAACAGAAATTTGAATTGTGTTGTTAGGGGTTGGTGCTATTTAACTAACCGTGGTAACTGGAATTCGTGTGTGCTGAAACTATGCAGAGTGAGAACAGCTGGTATTTAAGAGAATATATCTCAATCTCTATCTCTTATCCTCACCCTCTGCACCCCATGTTGTCTTAAAAATGACTAGTAGTAAGAAATGTCTAACAGCTGGTCTGCGGTCTTTCTTCTCTGCCTTAGCAGTATCTAAGAATTTGACTTTTGATTAAATGATGAAATGTATTCTGAATCAAAGACAATGAGATAGAAGTAGAGAGTAGAATTATGATTATTAGAGGCTGACAAGGGTAAGAGGGAGGGGAGGATACGGAGAGGTTGGTTAAGGAATATGAAATTGCAGCCAAATATGAAGAATAAGTTCTAGCATTCTGTAGTACTGTAAGGTTATGTACTTAACAATAGTTTATTGCATGTGTTCAAAAATATAGAAGAGAGAATTTTTCATTTTTAATGTTCCCACCACAAAGGAATGGTAAATGTTTCAAGTAATGGATATGTTAATTACCCTGATTTGATTATCACACATTGTATACATGTACGGAAATATAATTCTGGATCCCACAATTATATACAATTATCACGTGTTCACTAAAAATAAAAGAAAAATTGAAAGTAGAGTAGCATATGACCCAGCAATCCCTCTTCTGGGTGTAAATCCACAAGAAAAGATTTCAGCATATCTGCACCCTCAAGGGCCCAACACAGTGGCTCTTGCTTGGAATCCCAGTGCTTTGGGAGGCTGAGGCAGGAAGATCACTTATAAATATATAAGGAATTTTAAAAACACTAAAACTAGTATTTGTTTAGCAAACTATAAAACATTAAAAATTAAAGTGTTTTATTTCTTTGTAAAAAGCTTATCAAGAGTAATATAAATAGTGTTTGTCTTCTTCTCATTGTATTACTTCCTATACGGAGTGGACATGTTTTTTATATTTTACAGAATTGTCATACTCTATTTTAAATTTGAATTAGGAGTTTGAGACCAGTCCGGGCAACAGAGTGAGATGCTATCTCTACGAAAAATATTAAAAATTAGCCAGGCATGGTGATGCATGCTGTAGTCCCAGCTACTTGGGAGGCCGAGGCAGGAGGATCTCTTGAGCCCAGAAGTTTGAGGTTACAGTGAGCTATAATCACACCACTCCATTGCAGCCTGGGTGACAGCAAGACCTTATCTCTAAAAAATAAAAAAAGAAAAACACAATAGCCACAACTAAAGTGTTTACCAATAGATAGGTAGATAAAAAGACTGTGGTACATAGATACAATGGAATATCCGTCAGCCCTAAAAAGAATAAGATCCTACCATTTACAGCATGGATGAACTCAGACAACATTATGCTAAGTGAAATAAGCCAAACACAGAAAGAAAAATATCACATTATCTCACATATATGTGGAAGCTTGAAACAAAATTCAAATGTACAAACACTAAGTAAAAAACAGGGTTAATAGGGGTGGAAAAGTAGATAGAAAAGAGGGAGATATAGGCCAGAGGATCCAAGCAAGTAGCAGATTTGTAGGATGAACAAGTGTACAGATCTAATGTATGAGGACTATAGGTGATAAAATTGTACTATATTTGAAATTCATGCTAAATAAGTGGATTTTAGCTGCCCTTGCCACAAAAACAACAAAAAAGGTAACTATGGGAGATTATGAATATATTAACTTTCTTCAATACAGTAATTTTTAGTGTCTAATGTATCCCATAACATCATGTTGCATACCCTAAATATACACAATTAAATTTATTTTTAAAAAAGAATGCCACTAGGGCAGGCATGGTGGCTCATGCCTGTAATCCCAGGACTTTGGGAGGCTGAGGTAGGGAGATCATGAGGTCAGGAGTTCGAGACCATCCTGGCTAACATGGTGAAAGCCTGTCTCTACTAAAAATACAAAAATTAGCCGGGTGTGGTGGCACATGCCTGTAATCCCAGCTACTCAGGAGGCTGAGTCAGGAGAATCACTTGAACCCAGGAGGCGGGGGTTACAGTAAGCTGAGATCACGCCACTGCACTCCAGCCTGGAGTGAGGTGACAGATTGAGACCCTATCTCAGGAAAAAAAAAAAAAAAAGAATGCTACTAAACCACACCATTAGAACTTATAATTAATTATTTTTTATAAATATGCAACATAGTTTATATTTTTGTAGTGTAACCCCAAACAAAGAGATATGTATATACCTTAAAAAAAGAGATAAATGAGAGTCCTCATAAGGTTACCATGTATCAAACCAATCAGCTGTTCTTTGAGGTCATAATTATTTACCAATAAACTGTAATTGATGGTTAGCCTTTAATTTATGAATAATCTGTAATTGATAACATACAGCTACAAAATAGGTGCCAAGTAGTTATGTGACTAGCAAGATATAAATGCTGTAGGGACACCAGAGCTGATGGCTTCCCTGAGCAGAAATGTCCCCCACCAACCACATCTTGTCTTCCCAACCTCAAAAGAGCACAGAGTGGAGAAGAAGGTCAGAAGTAATACCTGTGAGTTTTAAGAATCCAGCTATCCCTGTTGTGCATGCTATGTTGACTTTGTCAGCTTAGTGAGGTGAAGCACATTTTGACTTGAGAAATTGCTGTCAATTTCACTGATGGCCCCTGCTGCTTATTGAACAGAGTGGCATTGGAAGAGACTCCAAGATCATTATTTTCTTGCATTTATTGCATTTATATTACTTAGCATTATATAATTAAATCTTTCTGCTTTTGAATTTAGGTCTAATTAATTTCTGAGTCATTTGAAGAAATTTTTGTATATTAAACTGAAGTACTTTGATTGAAAATTTGTGTACACAGATAACAAAAATGGAAGGAAAAAGACCCACAAAAATAACACTGATCATTAAGGTAGTTCTGCAATGAGTTAAAAAGTAGTTGTCAAAAGTATATTCTTACATACTTTTGAGATTGATGAGATTGAGATTACTTTTCTTATGAGGCTTCTACCAAACATCTTCAGCCATAGTGAAATTATAAAATGGTCTTTGGTCACCTCCAATCTTTCAAACTTGTTATGTAATGAAGGACAAAAGAATAAATAGAAAACATGTTGGTAAAGTAATTATTCCATTGGAGATTTTATTTGATAATAATAACCATGATTCCTATATATAAAAGCGTGCTCAATTATTCATATGTCCTGTTTATTATGACATTCTTACAAAAACCAGAAGGTCGTTGCAGTTTTCTAAATCATATTTTTTATTAATCAGGGAAGCGATGCTCAGAGATGTTAAGTACACTTCCCCAAGATCCTAAAGGTAATAAGTGATGTAGCCTCGAACTAAAACTTTGGTTTGTGTGATTAGTGCATGTTGTTTCCACTCTATCAGTAGTCAGCAAACTACAACCTACAAGACAATTCCAGCCCACCACCTGTTTTGATAAATGAAGTTTTATTGGAACACAGCCACACTAGCTATTGTTTATGACTACTTTCACACTTCAACAGCAGAATTGAGACATAGATTTCCTTTTTTTTTTTTTTTTAGACAGGGTCACATTCTGCCACCCAGGCTGGAGTGCAGTGGCTTGATCTCAGCTCACTGCAACCTCTGCAGCTAGCTGTATGGTTCAAGCCATCCTCCCACCTCAGCCTCCTGGGTAGCTGGCAATACAGGTGCATGCTACCATATCCGGCTAATTTTTGCATTGTTTGTAGACACAGGGTTTCACCATGTAGCCCAGGCTGGTCTCAAACCCCTGGGCTCAAGTGATCCACCAGCCTTGAGCTCTCAAAGTTCTGGGATTAAAGACCTGAGCCATGGCACCTGGCCAAGACATAGATCTCATGGCTTAAAATATGTGCTATCTGATTCCTTACCAAAAAATTTTGCCAACCCCTGGATTACACTATTGTGTCTTTGCATGGTCATTTTTTATCTTAAATTCTGTGTATGTGTATAAGTTCAACTCTCAATTAGAACTCAGAATGCAACCAATAAATAATTTATAGAATGTGTTATGTGTTAAATGTCATGAGAGACACTGAAAATGATTTCAATGAACAGTTATAAAGTAACTGAAGTCAAAGAAACTTGTACTTGCAAAACTTGGAAATCTGAGGACAAATGGAAAGATGGATAAACTGCATGTCACTGATTCAGTATTCCAAATTCCATATAAAAAGGTATGATTCACACTTCATAAAATATTTAAAATTAACTCATACATTTTTTCCTCTTGTAACACTCTATTTTAATGACTTTCTGAAAATATGTTTTAAGGTAGAAAAAAGTAATTTCACTGAAGATTTGTGGGAAGATTAAGTCAACATAAGAAAAGTCTAAATAATGAGGCAGTGGCATATGCCTATAGTCCTGGCTACTCAGGAGGCTGAGGTGGGAGCATGACTTGAGCCCAGGAATTCAAGGCTGCAGTGAGCTATGATAGCATCACTGCAGTTCAGCCTGGGCGACAGAGCAAGACCCTGACTCTAAAAATTGAAAATAGAAAACAGAAAAAAAAAATGTGTTGTGAAATTTGATGAGATGCATTCATATAACTCATTCCAAATATAAAATTTTCCCCACTGATCTATCTTGAAGAGATAGTGTAGCTTTCTTTCGCTTTGCAGACATAGACGGAGCACGTGTTTCAGCTAGGCAACTCAATGTGCTCATCCTCCACCTGACGGTTCATCCTGTGACTCTAACTGCTTATAGTTGCCACCAGAGAATGTGAAAAAGCTCAAAGGAGAAAGAAGAGAGGAAGAATGGGCAATGTGTCTATGTTGAGTGTGTGTGTGTTTCTGTGTCTATGCCTGTGGATGAGAGCGTGTGTGTCTATTCTTTTCCAAAGAATTCAAAGTGGCTTGTAAAATAACATGCAATTGAACACAATTCAAGATACAGAAAAGACAGTCAGAGCTTGGGTGTATACCCCAAGGTGGAACTTTAGGAACAAGTAGGTAATAAGCATCAATTTCTTTATTCTTTCAGTATGTTTGTCATTTGATGGATGAACTGTATAAATGTTTCTGAGAGGTCAGTAGCAGCCCTCAAGCACATTTCTCTGTCCTCAGTGTTCACAGAGACCAAATGACCACATGAAGTAACTCTACCAAAGACTAATCTGTTGTTTCCATTTTAGGGCCACAAATAGGTCTCTTTATACACAGCACAGGGACATATCAAAGTCATATTTTTAAAATCAGAATGGGTTAAAATTGACAAACATGATTCATGATGGTAAAAGAAATCACAGACCCAGCAATGATTTTGATTCTTAAGAATATTCTTGATTTTTTAAAAAGACAATGTATTTTTAAAACTGTTCTCTGAAATGTAATTATGTAGGCACAGAAGCATTCATTTTTCAAAAGTCCTAAATATTAGGGCAAAACTAAAAATATCGAAAAGGAAACAGCCGCATTTTTTACTATTAGCTCAAATACACACATTCACATTCACCTACCTACATATACTTCTGACTCAGTCTACCCTTTTGACAAGCAATGATGCAAAAATGAATCAAGAGAGAGAACTACCAGCATTTAGAGTATTGATTATCCTAACCCATCAGTCATGAACCAACACCAAAGTGACATTTGGGGTTTACCTACCTACATAGAGAACACCCTCTTTTGTCTTTCCTGCTGCTTCTGCCACACCCTGTTTGGTTTTCTCAGCAGCAGCCACAACTCCCTCCTTGGCCTTTGAAAGTCCTTTCATGAATACATCCATGGCTAATGAATTCCTTTACACCACACTGGAGAACATAAAATACACTTTGAATGAGAACTTTTGGGGGAAAATAAACAAAAAACACTGAAAAATCATGAGAAACCCTCCAAAGTGTGAGACTCTTTTAAGTGTACACTCATTTAACCATTGGACAAAGCAGACATTTTTAGCTCTGGCATTAAAAATTTAGCATCTCCCATCCATCTTGGCTAGTAAAAGTCTAGCCACCTAACCATGGATTAGGATGAATCCTCTGAGTTGTTAATACTGCATTTCAGAAGTGGAGTTGCATGAAAAGAGTCACTCCTGTTTTAACTTCCCGGGGTCTAAAGGGTAACAGTGTGAGTTAGAAGCATGGAAGCTGGAGGCTTAGGGTCAGGGGCATCCTTAACATGAATCCCAGAAGAAGGCTAACAGGTTGATGGTGGAGAGGCGTAGGCAAGAGAACTAACTACTCACTCTGGGTGTGGTTCAACCTCAGGCAAACAGCGAGCCCAAGGGTGCTGGTTCTAATACATCCGAGCATCCACCCCCGCCCTCAGCTATCTACCCTGAGCAGGCGGCGCTCACACTCGCGGGCCGTCTCTAACCCTGCGCCAGCCACCCGAGGGGGCGTTCTCAGCATCCACCCTAGCGGACCCCGCGCCAGCACTTGTTAACCCTTTACCACCTGTTGACTTGACCTCCCTGCACTTTCATTTCATTATTTGCCAAACGCAGCTTGCTTACTTTACAGAGAAAAACCAAGAGAGCGGGCAGACGGATTTCAGGTAAGAGAGAAATAAAAGTTGGATGCTCACGCTCCAGGGAGCATCCTCGCGTTTCCCGGGGAAAAGCGGATCCCGGAGACGCATCCTAATCTCTCAGCCCTTGGGGAGAAGCCCTTGACAGGACGAAAGCCAGGTCAAGTCTCTTTCCTTAGGCTCCCCAAAGGGACAAGTATTCACCTCCCAGAGACCTGACACAGCAGGTCCTCACCGCAGCACCACCCCCTCCTGGTGCCCACGACCATTCCTCTCCCACCTGGCTTTCTCCAGGATTTCCAAAGACGCCCGTTTAGATCCACAGGTACTTACCTGTGTCCCTCTGCTTCTCCACAACTCCGATTCCTCCCCACCTCTCTTTTTTTTAAAAAAAAAAATTAAACAATTCCCAAATAATATTTAATAGGGAAGAAGGAGGAAAAGGAGCGCACAGGAAGGGCGGAGGCGGCACCGGGAGGGGGACGATCCCCAGAGGAGGCCGCTGTGAGCCGGCGACGGGAGGCTGGGGGCGTGGGAGGCAAACCCGCTAACCTGTCGTCGAATGGCCACTCCCAGTTCTCCGCTCACGAGGATGGAGAAAAAGGCAGAAGGTTTGAAGGGAAGGCGTGAGGGAGCGCTCAGGACGCTCTCGGAGGGGCCGGGCCGGGGTCTGCGCTGCAGCCCGCAAGCACCTCACTCCCGCGTCGCGGCGCTCGGTCGCTCGCCCCCTCTCTCGGGCCCCTTCTGGTCGTCGCCGTCCTCCTCCTCCTCGTCCTCCTCCTTCTCCTTCTCCTCGGCTCTCCGCCCCCACCGCTGATTTGTCAGCGCCTCTCCCCGCCCCTCTCCCAGCGCTCGCTGCTTTCCCTGCAGCGTGCTCTTCGTTCCCTATCTCGGATGGGGATGGGGCAGGGGGCGCAGCGTGAACCACCAATTCCAGCTGCCTGCCTGGCCGCGCAAGGCGGGAAAGTGGGGGCGCTTTTGCGCCTCACCTCAAGTTCAGGGTCACGGGCACTCTTGTGGCGATTGGGAGCGGTTGGACTTGGGCTGACGCCTCTCCCTCTTTCCCATTCCCCTCCCTTCCTGTCCCCGCCTTTCCTCGGGGTCCTCCCTGGGACCACCCCCTACCCCTCGTCAGAGTCGACCTGGGAGAGCCGAGGGCCTGAGGGTCGACCACCCAGAGCAGAGCCCATCCTTTGGGGAGCTGCTGGAGGAGACAGGGAGCGCAGGGAGGTGGCTCACACCGCACCGCCGAGAGCACTTTGCCCTCGCATCGCTGACATTTAATCACGGTCACAGGCTACGTTAAGGGTCGCTTTAGTTCAAATATCCTCAAGATTTTCGTTTGCTCTTAATCCAGGTCGAGCTCGAAAGGGTCCCGCGGGTGAATCGGAGACTACTAAGGAAGAGTTACAGGTTGAGTAGGCAGGAGGAGGCTCAGCAAATCCTCTTCCCACCCCACTATCACCATTTTCCTTTCCACCAATCAGCGCCTGCCAGACGCTGATTTTTCCCATCAGCGGAACGAGGAATAAATATTCCCCAGCCGTCTAAAACAAGCGGTCCTAAGGCTTTTCGCTCTAGAAATGGGACTTACTTTGCAGACCTAAGTGCATGGTCTGGTAGACAAATCCAGCGTGATTTACCCTACCAGACCATCATATCCAATTTCTTTTTCAGCCCCTTCTGAAAGGGAGATGCTACACGCCACTCACCTTTCTGACTTCTAATTCTCGTTGCCCTCAGAATTGACATCCCCTTTTCTCTCCCCCGACCCACCACATGCACAGACACACAGACGTACACACGCGAACCTCAAGACAATTTTTGCATCGCTTAACACATTTTCACCTCTTTCAGAACTGGAAGACAGCTATTCCTGGATCACACCAGAATGGAGAAGCAAGCTCCTCCCACTAGCAGAAAGCCTTTGCTTTCTGTGCCTGGATTCGGAAGATTAGTTAAGCAC